GAGAGACTCTCTACTGGGGCTGGAAAGATGGCTCAGTGGTTAAGAGCACTGACTGCTCTTCCTAAGGACCCTAGTTCAGTTCCCAACACCCATATGGCAGCTTACAATGGTCTGTAACTCCAGTTCCAAGGGATCCAATACTTCTTCTGGCCCTGCAGACACTGCACCCTCTTTGTGCACAGACATACAAGCAAGCAAAATGCATAAAACTGAAAAAATAATGTGGAAAACAACTGAAAGAGCCACCTGATAGCAACGCCCTGCCTTCACGAACACATACACTCACACGCTCATGCATGTGTGCATTCATACATTAACATGCACACACATTCACCGCTCTGAGACACATTCACACAAATATAACAAATCAAAACGTGTTGATCTAGGCACGGTGACAAAAAAGGTATAAGGAGGAAGACCCAGACTTTAAGGCTGTCTTTGGCTACATAGTGATTTGAAGGTCCGCCTGGGCTTCGTGAGACCCTGTCTTAGAAAAAAAAAATAGAAAGAAAGAGGGCTGAAGAGATAGCTCACTCTAAAAAGCGCTTACATTATATGCGTAGAGACCCAGGTTCAACTCCGCAGAACCCGTGTAACGAGGTCAACTGTGTGGTGGTGCAAACTTGCATTCCCAATGCTAGGGTTGTCCAGACAGACGCTGGGGGCCAGCAGGTCTAGCCTAGGTTTGGAGAGACCCTGTGGTGGATGGCATTCCTGAGGATGAAGTCCAAGAGCATCCTCTGGCCTTAACATCCCACGCGCGCACGTACACACACACACACACACACACACACACAACACTATCTTTAAGGATTACTTTAACTAGCTAGATAGGGCAAACAGACCGAGGCCAGAGCACACTGCTGAGCTGGTGAAGGGGCTCAGTGGGGAAAGGCTCTTTGCCGCCATGCTCACCTGAGTTCAATCCCGGAGCTCATGTGCTGGGAAGAGAACCAGCCTTTGTGAGCTGTCTGCTGAGCTCCTGTGTGCCCCAGGGCATGCACAGAAACAAATGTGAAAACCCGCAGGTAAAGAGGGGAGAGAGGGGGATGGGAAGGAAGAGAGGAACGAGGCCTATAGCATCTTGTATTCTTTATTTTCTTTAATGCTAATTTATTTCCCCTTTAATTTTCTTTCTTTTTTTGTTGTTGTTTGTTGTCATTGTTGTTGTTGTTTTTAGAGACAGAGTTTTTGTTGTTGTCTAGAGACAGGGTTTCTCTGTGGCTTCGGAGCCCATACTGGAACTAGCCTTTGTAGACCAGGCTGGCTACGAACTCAGAGATCCTCCTGCCTCTGCCTCCCGAATGCTGGGATTAAAGGCGTGCGCCACCACCACCAGGCCCCCTTTAATTTTGTATTTTTCTTTGTTTAGGATTTTTTATTTTTATTAATTTTTACGAAATGTTATGTGCATGGGTGTTTTGCCCGTAAGTATGTCTGTGTAGCAGATATATGCCAGCACCCAGAGAGACCAGAAAACGGTGTCGGATCCCCTGAACCCGCAGTTACAGCTGGTTGGGAGCCACTATGTAGGTGCTGAGATCAAACCTGGATCCTTTGAAAGAACAGCCAGTGCTCTTAAAATGATGAGGCCTGCATCTTGTATTCTTATATTATGAGAATAATTTTAGTCATTTAGACTACTCAGGGTTCCCAGAAACACTTGGAGTACCTATGATGTTTTTGAATTACAAGATGAACAAAGGTCAGAAATGTCCTATACAGTCTGGATAGCCAATGCTCTGGGATTCTCAGTGACTGTCTGAGTTCTTTTCCTTGGCATGAGAAAGACAACCATAATGTTAACAAATGTACAGACCTGTCCCCAAAAAACTTTATTTATACAAACACACTGAAGCTGGATTTGGCCCACTGGCTCTGGTTTGCCCAGCCTTGAACTAGAACAGAATAAACTTCCAGGGCTTACACTAGGAAAGGGAGAAGCGGGTGTTATCTCACTCATCCTAGCCGGCCTCTTCCCAGAAGAGGAAGAAGGATTTACTTCTTAGAAAACATCTTGATCTTACTCTCCACTAATGTTCACACTGATGTGACCGAATTCCGGAGAGAGGCAACGCAATGTAGGAAAGGTTTACTGTGGTCCAAAGTTCCAGAGAATTCAGTCCGTGGACGACATATCCCCAAGCACACAACCCCAGTGAGCAACGTCCTCCAGCCTGTCCACAATTCCATCACTACCCTACAGTCTAATTTTTGTTTTTCAAGACAAGGTTTCTCTGCATAGCCTTGGCCATTCTGAAACTCTCGCTCTAAACCAAGCTGGCCTTGAATTCATAGATCCGCATGCCTCTGCCTTCCAAGTGTTGGGATTAAGGACATGCATCTCTACTGCTGCCTGACTCAGTAGTCTAATTTTGTTTTTGAGACAGGATCTCACTGGCTGGCTTCACTGATCTCCAACTCACAGAGATCGGCCTGCCTCTACCTCCCAAGTGCTAGGATTAAAGGTTGTGTGCCACCTTGCCGGGTTTATCAATACTCTATTTTGAATCTATAAAGGGACTAAGCCATTCAGTTGGTAAAAGTTCTCACAGATAAAGCCAGAGATACTCCTGACTAAGCCTCAGGCATCTCTCAATCCAGTCAAACTGACAGTCAAGAGTTCCTATCATTCATTCCCAGTTTGGTGAACTCCACGGCCACCGTCATCCTTAACTGTGCCCTTCCAAAGCTCCATCGGAGCCTCAGCCATGGGCTCTTGGAGCACATCCAGCTGGGTGGAGGGAGGCAACAGCGAGGTCTTCCTTCCCACTCTGCCTGCACCTCACCCTGAGGACTGGAAGAAAGCAGAATGGACTAGGTTCACTGGGTGCAGCCGTGCAACTGACTCCTGGACCAGGGAATCTTCACACCGCATGTCACCTTCAATTAGGCATATTCTTCCCTGCGCATGCTTGGTCCTAGGGAATTGCTGTTGATGGAGACAGATTTCAGCTCCTTCTACGGCCTCTAACTGCCCTTATCTGTCATGTCCCCAGCACTGGAGAGCATAGGTCTCCCAGTCAGCAGGTGCTTTTCTTCCTCTGCTGTGGGAACAAAGGGGCTCATTCCTGCTTCTGCTTGGCTTACAGACTCTAGTCCCCAGAGCGCTATTTCCCAAGGGCAGTATTGGGCTCCTTAGAGAGGGTGGAGCCCCAGTCATGCCCTGGGTCTTCCTTTGGCTTTGGCTCCTTTCCCCACTGCAGGGGTGACTGGACCAGATGACTGTCTTAGTCGCCAAGAAAACCATATTCCCTGGAAGCATCCTTAGACACATATCCTAGTTGGGCAGAGAGGTAAAGGCCTGTGAGCCCATCATCCCTGCTGAGGCAGAAGAATTTCAAGTTCAAAGCCAGCCTGGGCTACACAGTGAACTATGTAAAAAACAAAACAAATAAAAACAAAAAGTATCTCCTCTTTGATGGGCTTGTTCTTCTTAACCCAATCCTCTACCATCTTCATCCTCTTTGTCTTCTCCACCAGGGCACTGATAAGTGTTCAGTCCTGAGGGAGTTGTCAAAATGAGGCAAAAGCTTGAGTCTGGGCAGGGTGGACACTCCAGGCTCTAAATCTAACTCTACCCGATCACTGGGAGATGTTCTAGGCTGTGAGGGGACTTCCAGTACATACCCAAAACCAGTCCCTTGCCCTCCCAGAGACCAATTTTATGTCACCGACTGGGAGGAAATCATGGACACATCTTTTTACCACCCTCCAACAACTCAACCAGGGAGATGCTGTATTTGATTTTAAAAATAGAACCCCCCAGGCTGGACTTTTATGGTCTTGTGAAGAATACTGCTTTTGCCCTCCCACACCTGGTCACTGCCCCTGCCTGGCCCCGTCCAGCTGCCCGCATCAGCTCTGGACAAGTTCTCAGGGTCTCTTAGCAGAAATGCGGGACCGGGCAGATTTATGTGTTTGGCCTTGGCTAAGGCCTTCTGCGATGGCTCCCAGCCACAGCCCAGCTGCTCCCCCACAGCCCATGCAGCTCTGGCTGGGACGTTCTGTGTCTTCTAGCTACACCCCAGCTTGCTGAGTCACCCCCTCAACCCCCTTTCCCCGAATGCCCTGGTCAGCCCAGGAGGAGCAGACCCATCCCTTCCAGCCTGCCTAAGCCTCACTCGGCTCACGATCATCCAGTTAGGACTCTAGTTGGCCTTGGTTACTAAAATTTGACAGGAAGGCTGTTCTTCTGTGTCTAGGCTTCAGGAGCCTTTCTGAAACTCTACCTGACTTGGAAGGCTCGTTGCATTGCGTGCTTTGTCCTCCAATTATTTCTTCAGGGTCAAGGACTAGTGTCGCTAAAGCTATAGCAAAATATTGGCACTCTGTCCCACGACTTGGAGCAGGCCTGGGATGTCAATGTCTGTGGGGAGAAGTTGGCCTTGGGAGCTGATTTCTAGAACTGTATAGATTATACCCAAACCAACAAAGCCCCAGTTAGTGATGGCACAGAGGACATGCTTGTCTTGTATTTTCTTGAGACGAGGTTTCTAATATAACAGAAATGAAGACCATAGTTGTCACCCCCCCCCCCCAGAAAGATACACATGCCTCGTCTTAGTCTCTTCCAGGAGACAGCTGAGTGCATGGTGCCAACCTTTTGGAGGCAGGGCTGTGATTGGCTGCCTCATTGAGTGAAAGTAGAGATGCCTTTGGGATAAAACCATCTCCCCCTAGACAGCTGGGAGTTCCCCTGGAATGTAAGCCGTGTAAGTGTGATGGCTTCATCTCTAGACAGAGCCCGTGCTAAGAAAGTGTGAAAGGATGCAGGGCCTTGGTGGGGGAATGTGGTGATGGGGGCAGCTGGAGAGACCATATCCAGGGACAAGAACCCTAAACTTTTCACTTCCTCTTTGATGTTAGATAAGTATCTTGTAGGGCAATTAAAAAAAAATCACACTTTATTCTTTAGTTTCCTCTCTGGGGTTGTGACCTTGTGACCTAGAGGTCACATGTACTGCTACCAAAAGCCCTTCTTGTTCCCTGTGCGGCCAAGAGCGCCTGGGGCTAACGCCACCCTAGCCTCCTCCACCTGAGCCTGCAGAGTCATTTCTGTTTTCTCGCTGGGAAGAAGCCTAGGGAAGTAAGAGGAGGGTGATTCCCTAGCTTGACTTTAAACCACATCAAACACTTTGCTCTTTCACTTCCTGCCCACTACCCTAGAAGTGCCAGGAATGTCTCCTCCTAAGAGCCAAAGGTGAAGATCTTCATCCTGGGTCCCCTCAGAACTCTCCACCATTGACGTCACCATTGCTTCTTCTGCCTGCCGGAAGCCGAGCCTGAACTTGAAAGTTGAGCCTGAGTCAATTCCAAAGGCTGAGAGTCAGGGGGAAAGACAGGGAGAGCTGTAGAAAATCCGGGTCCTTACGTGAGAGTCACAGTCTGAGAGAAGAGGATGAGGGGCTGGTCATTTGTTACCAAGAGCTGCAGATACTGGATCGGCGACAAGAACATCTGTGGCTACAGAGACTTGGGACCCCACCTCTTCGTCCCTGGTTCTCTGGCTGGCAGCGGTGGCTGTGGTGGAATTGAGGCCAGAGCATCCTAAGCCTCCTGCGTAAAGACGAGATCGCATGGGCCACTTCTGAGAAGACAGAAGACGGGGAATGATTAACACAGCTACTGTGTGGTCCTGAATAGCCTGGAAACAATTAAGACCTTAAGTCTGGCATCCTCTGACATGTCCTCTGGATGTCACAGCTTTAGAGGGTCTCCCTGCTGCCTGGCAGCGGCACAGGAGCCCACTGAGGGCAGTAAGGACCTCAAGAAGAGCAAGACTTGGTTGGAGGAAGGTAGACAGGTGCCCTGGGCAGAGCAGTGCCAGAGGTAGAAGAGGGTGAGGATGGGGCTCTTCGGCTCACACCCTGCAAGGATTTCAAGGCCTTCCTCTCAGGAATAAGGGTGGTTTAAGAAAATGCAAGGATCGCTGGGCGATAGTGGAACACACCTTTAATCCCAGCACTCGGGAGACAGAGGCAGGTGGATCTCTGGGAGTTTGCGGCCAGCCTGGTCTACAAGAGCTAGTTCCAGGACAGCCAAGGACTACACAGAGAGAAATCTTGTCTCGAAAAACAAACGAACAAACAAGGATCACGCCGCTCGGAGCCTGTCCTCTCCATCGCTCCCCCATTGTTCAGTATCTCTTCACTAATCTGTCAGAGTTCTAGACTAGGCTTTCCTCTCCCTTCCCCTCCTCTTCTCCTCTTCTCTCCCCGCCCCTCCTCTGTTCACTCACCAACATATTTATTTCTCATTTGCTACTCACAGGGCTTTATATTCACCACCATTTTACAGATAAGAACCTTGCTGCTGCTCCATGGCCCTGTATCCAGTGCTACCTTTAGCATTTTAGACTGAACCCCATTTAATCTCGGAAGCCTGCATTTCAGCTATATTCTCAAGAAACAACAAACAAACACTTCAGGACATTTCAGAAGAACAGCATGTACAAGAAAGAGACAATAAAAAGAAGCCATTATAAAAAATAAAGGCGACAGCTAGAGACATGGTTCAGTTGGTAGAGCACCTGACTAGGATGCTCGAAATCCTGAGTTCAACCCCCAGCCTAGTGTAAACCAAGTGCGGTACGCCAGCCTATAATCTGAGCACTGGAAAGGTGAAGGCAGGAGGAACAGAAGTTCGAGGCCATCACTGGCTACATTTGAGTTTTAGGCCAGCTTGGAATATATGACATCTCGGGGGGGGGGGGATTTTTTAGAGGGCAAAGGTCACCCTTCCTTTATGATATTGCAAGCTCTTTTTTGTTTGTTTGTTTTAATTTTAAGACAGAGTCTTGCTACCTTGCCAGACTGACCTGGAACTTGGAACCTCCTGCCTCTGTTTCTTGAGTACTGGGACTGAGTGTGGCCCACTATACCTGGCTCACAGCATACTCTCTGCACAGGTTCCTGTGAAGCGCCTGGGGGCCTTTGGTGGAGAGGTCTGTGGCCAGACGCCTGGGTTCGGACTGAACCTGGCCCCTTGCCCTCCCTGCCCTCAGGTCTCCATCTGTAAATCTTCCCTTGCTTGGTTCTCACGAGTCAACAGATGACACTGCCCTAAGTGGGGGGGGGCAGGGGGACTGCCCTAAGTGTGGGGGGACGGGGGACTGCCCTAAGTGTGTGTGGGGGCAGGGGGACTGCCCTAAGTGGGGGGGGGGCGGGGGGACTGCCCTAAGTGGGGGGGGCAGGGGGAGTGCCCTAAGTGGGGGGGGGCAGGGGGATTGCCCTAAGTGGGGGGGGGCAGGGGACTGCCCTAAGTGTGTGTGGGGGCGGGGGGACTGCCCTAAGTGGGGGGGGGGGCAGGGGGATTGCCCTAAGTGTGGGGGGACGGGAGACTGCCCTAAGTGGGGGGAGGCAGGGGGATTGCCCTAAGTGTGGGGGGACGGGGGACTGCCCTAAGTGGGGGGACGGGGGACTGCCCTAAGTGGGGGGGACGGGGGGACGGCCCTAAGTGTGGGGGGACTGCCCTAAGTGTGGGGGACTGCCCTAAGTGGGGGTGCAGGGGGACTGCCCTAAGGTTCTCAGCTTGGCCTCCAGCTTATCTTCAGCATCCAGTCTTAGTGCATTCTCAAGCTAAGGTTCAGGAAACTGGGTAATGGTTTGCCATGGTGCTTGCTGGAAGACCTCTGACCTACACCGGGTGGCTTGCCTTCCAATGGGTGTTTCCAGAGCACTGGGGGGGTTTTAGGATGTTGTCCTCCCAGAGACCAGATGTCTGCAGCAACAGTAGTCAGAGACCAGAAAGGCAGGCGCCACTCGCTACTCAAGGAGGTGAAATTGCTTGGAAATGGGTGACTCTCCTGGGTCCTGGGCCTTAGAACAGGAACCCACTCCTCTCTTCCCCAGACACTAAGAATCTCAGAGCGTTTCTCTCCTCCTGGAGCAATCCACTCCCATGCAGACAACACCCAGTCACTGCTCCACCCCAAGAGCCAGCCTCTGTCCCCCTCCTGAGAGAACAGGAGGAAAATGCCCCCAATTCCATTTCCCTCCCCAAGGTTTCCTACCAAGACCCTAGGCCAGCAACCTACCTTGAGGGGGTGTAAGTACCGGAGTCCACGCAGGAAGGGTGGCCAGGCAGGGCCAGGCAACTCGTGACCGAGCGTTCGGGTGAGGTGGGCTATGTAGCTTGTGGCCAGCACCAGCACGTCCAGCTTGGAAAGCTTTGTGTCAGGAGGTACGGCAGGCAAAGCAGCCTGCAAGGCCAAAAAGGCCTGGCGCAGTGTCCTCACCCGGGTCCGCTCCCGTGCTGCGTTCTCAGGGCAGGCTTCACTCTGCAGAGAGGCCCCCTTGAGTACATCTCACCCTGCTCTCTTGTCAGAGTTCCTATTGTTGGGACAGGGTTTCCTTTAGCCCAGGCTAGACTTGAACTCTCTGCATAGCCCAGGATGACCTGGAATTTGGGATCCTCCTGCTTCTACGCCTCAAGTGCTGGGGCTATAGGAGTTCACCACCACGCCTGGTTGGTCCTGACTTCTAAGGACCCTATTAGTGCCATGTCTTCTTATGGAGCTAATGGGCCTCACTGGTTTGAAGCCAAGCTTCATAATAAAATGAAGGAAGGCCTGGACTGGGATCAGATGACAGGAAGGTGGCAACACTTGGCTCAGAACCCAAGAGTCCTTTCTTTCTATTATGCCATTAACATCTGTTCTACTCCCAATCTAGAGCCTGCTGTACCCTGGGGGCTATAGGAAGCATAGAGCCATGCCCCTGCTTAGCTGACCCTTGACCCAACTAGGTAAAGAGGAAAGGACTCTGCACAAGAGTCAGAACATACAGTCCTGGGCTGCGGATGTAGCTCAGTTGGGGGAATGTTTGCCTAACATGTGTGAGGCCCTGTGCCCGATCCCTATCGCGGCATAAACTGGGTGTTTATGCACATACTCTCAGCGCTTGGAATGTGGGGGCAAAGGGATCAGAAGTCCAGGTTCTAAGCTACAGAGGATGTTTGAGGCTAGCCTGGACTACATGAGACTCTGACTGGAAGACAGACAGATAGATAGATAGATGAATAAATAAATACAAATAAATAACAAATACTCAGTCTAGGTCCGCCACCACTGGCTGCTGTTCAGGGGCCTTACATAGCTCACATCTTCTGGGCCTGAGTTTCTCAGCAGACAGTAGTTAGGTCACCTCTCTGAGCTGTGCTCTCATGGAGTTCTGACCTGTCCTGCCCACCTCCAGCGTGGCACCATGGGCCTAAGGATGCTGCCCTTGGGTGGAGCCATCAAATACCGATTGAGGCTCTGCCCTAAGAGGTGGCATCTCATTGCCCTCAAACCCTGCCTTCCCCAGCTCCCTCCTCTAGTCCAAAGAGTCCTTACCCTGCCATGAGCTGTTCCCTTAGCTCTGGTCCCTCGAGGGGCAGAGGTGGCTCTGCTCAGTCTGTGATTACTCCAGCTAGTGCTGTCCCATAGGTCCTGCCTTGTCTTGCTGAGGCGGTTCCTCTTCCTGTCAGCACCTAGAAGCAACCGTGCTTTGGCCTTAGTCTGGCCATGCCCTGCTCTTGGCATTGCTGGTGCCCCTGAGGCCTCCTGTGACATGTCACTCTCCTGGGGTATGGAGCTATACTAGAGCAGTCACACAGAGCCCGAGGGAGCCCTTAGGCTCAAGTTAGCCTGGACAGGCTGGCCATCCAGCCAGCAGAGTCTGTATCTGAGGAAGCCGGCGCCAACTCAATCCTTCACTCCTCGCTCTGGGAAAACTGCCCACCCAGCACAGCCCCCGCAGATAGCCTCCGCCTGCCTCCCATCCCAGCTGAGAGGTGGGGGTGCCGCATGCTGGGAGTGGCCAAGCCCTAGGACAAGGCCCATGCTAAGAAGGCCTGGAGATGGGTAAGAGGAGAGTGCCCTTCCACGCCCTGACTGACCTTACCAGGGTCATCCTCTGATGGACCTACTGCTTCAGGTTTGGGGCTCAAATCCATAGTTTGGGGCTCTGGATCTCCAGCCCTTGTGTCAGAGACTATCAGCATCTATCTCACACGGTCCTTTCCTCCTCCCACCAAAAGCACATGACGAGGCGCTACTCCCCACTCCTCAGACATGCTTCCCAATTCCAACTTGGTGGTTTCTTCCCAAGATTCCAGGGGAATGATGCCATCCTCAGGGCTCTGCCCTTCACTTATGAGGACTTTAGCCCTGCCCCGCCACCAGCCTGTATCCCCTGTTTGACGGGCAGGACCACAACCTGGCTAGGATCCTAATAACACTTTGATGTTCCTAGCTCTTGTAGATGCCCTGCATTGTGCCTCTGCGCTTTATATGAATATCTTATTTATTCTCCAGAGCAACCATAAAGAGATCGTGTGTGTGTGTGTATGTGTGTGCGCGTGCATGCGCACATGTGTGTGTACCTGTGTGCACGTGCATGTGGAGACAAGAAGTCAACATCAAGCGTCTTTCCTCAGGTGTTGTCTACCTCATTTAAAATCTTTTAATTAAAATATAATCACATGACTTTCCCACATGCACTTTCAGACAGTATCTCACTGGGACCTGAACTTGCTGCTCAGGCTGGGCCAGCCGGCCAACGCCGCTCCCGAAAGCCTTCTGAAAACGATATTCGTTTCAGATGTGGGGAACTGTACTGTGCGGAGATGAAACAACCTGCCCGGAGGATTTTGTTTTGAGATAATGTTATGCTGTGTAGTCTTGGATAGCTGGAAACTTGTTACGTAGCCCAGGCTGGCCTTTGAACACACAGCAGTCCTCCTGCCTCAGTTTCCCAGGTGCTGCTGGGATTACAGAACAATGTAAAATCTTGGAAGTAGTGAGGCTAGAGATGCCCGTGGGATGAAGGGATTCCAGCTCTTAGATTCCAGTGCCATCTTCTTTTTCTCAGAGAGGCCTTTTCCAGAAGCATCCATCCGGGACCCTTTAGAAGTTGAATCCGACCAGAGCTGAGGTGAGATTTACAGAGATGCCACAAGAGCACTGCGCACACAGGAGTTCTTTCTCTCTGCAGGAAGTCACCCAGCAGGGAAGGAGAGGGCTCTCGCCCTGGCTCTGCCAATCCCAGAGAACCTAGACAGCAATGAGGACCCTAAGAGAGACTTACATGAATCTAATCTACATGGGAAGTAGAAAAAGACAAGATCTCCTGAGTAAATTGGGAGTGTCGGGACCATGGGAGAGGGTTGAAGGGGAGGGGAGAAAAAGGGAGAGGAGCAGAGAAAAATGTAGAGCTCAATAAAATCAATTTAAAAAGAAGAAAAGTAGTGTCACAGGCTAAAGAGATGCGCAGTGTGACAGTGTTTGTTTAGAGGACATGAGGCCTTGAGTATGATCCCAGTATATACACAAACACACAGAGAGAGCGTGTGGGCACGCATCCAACAGAGAGAGAGAGAGAGAGAGAGAGAGAGAGAGAGAGAGAGAAATCACATATACACAAACACACAGAGAGAGCTTGCGGGCACGCATCCAACAGAGAGAGAGAACACTCACAGAAAGAGAGAGAGAAATCACATATATACACACACACACACACACACAGAGCGTGCGGGCATGCATACAACAGAGAGAGAGAACACTCAGAGAGAGAGAGAGAGAAATCACATATACACACACAGAGAATACACACAGAACACACACACACAGAGTGTGTGTGGGCACGCGCACAACAGAGAGAGAGAGATCACATATACACACATAGAGAGAGAACACACAGAGCGTGCGGGCACACATACAATAGAGAGAGAGAGAACACACACAGAGAGAAATCACATATACACACATAGAGAGAGAACACACACAGAACACTCAGAGAGAGAGAGAAATTACATATGCACACAGAGAGACAACACACACACAGAGAACACAGAGAGAGAGAACACACACAGAGAGAGAAACAGAGAGAATACACACAGAGAGAAAACACACATACACACACGTATAGAGAGAATACACACACATGAACACACACAAAGAGAGAGAGAAAAACAGAGACACAGTCAGGCAGGCAGAGACAGACAAAGAGACAGGCAGAGACAGAGAGACAGAGACAGGGGGCACTTGGGAGGCTAAGACAGGATCACCTCAACTTTAGGCCAGCCTGGGCTATAGAGTGTGAGGCTCTATTTGAAGAAATGAAAGAAGGAAGGCAGGCAAACCGAAAGAGCAAGCAGAAGATTGCCTCAATTTTGGTGCTAACGTGGTCTATACAGTGTGTTTCAGGACAGCCTAGGAGTTTCTTCCCCACAAAAAAGAAGGAGGAGGAGAAGAAAAAGAAACAAAGAGCAAGGAAGGATGGAAAGTCAAAGAAAAGAATACAGGGATACAGCATCTACAAAGATGCAGTGACTAAGAGCGGGGTGGAACCAATGGACAGAGTTGTGGGTCCCATGCTAGCAAGAGCAGGAGCCATTTCTAGCACCCCAATATTTTGTACAAATGTTCCCGCAGCCAGCAGAGAAGGCACCAGGACTCTTGGAGAGCTGGTCTTGAAGGGCTTTACATGTTGAACATCCTCTAAGGGGGTAGGTAGCTCAGGCCATGCTGGACTTGGTTCTCTCTGCCGAGGTAGCAGCAGCCATGGGGCAGGCTCTTGGAGAATGTTCTCTGTGACAACTTGGTCTCAGTCCTGTCCTTCAGCCTACTCTCCAGGAGATGGACACAGCAGGGAAGACTCTGTCATGACGCTCTCAGGTGGTTTCATACCGGCAGCAGCCAGGCAAGAACATGGGATGAGACGCTATTCCCCACGCCTCAATCATGCTTCTACCAGGTTGGTACTGGTCCAGCTCCTGAACGCTGGGCTTCGTGGCTTCCACTGTGGCTTCCAGGGAGTGAAAGCAAGTTTACTTCTGGGTTCCGCTTCAGCTGGGTGTGACGAGCCCCCGTGATAGTTCTCTGAAAGTCAGACAGCTGTCGCGCTGTCCCATCTGCATGGGACTGACTCTCTGAGAAGGTGAAGACAAAACCTGTCAGACACGTTGCCCTCTGTGTCTGGTACAATTTGGATATTCTATTCTCATCGATGGGTTGTTTGATTGGGATGGCCAAGTGCACATTTCTAATGCTGAAATGGGACAGTTCAGACCCCACCACCACCGTGGACTGAATTCATCCCCCAAAGTTTATGAACCTTAATCTCCAGCACAACAGTATTACACGGTAGTATGTGTGGGTGCTGGTTAGGTCATGGGGTTCTGTCCTTACACAAGGAAGAATGCCGAGCTCGGGACATAGCTTAGTGGGTAGGATGCTTGCCTAAAACACGTGGAGCCCTGGGATTGGTCTCCAGCACGTCACAGATGGGGAGCTGTGGTGTATTCCTGTAACCTCAGCTGTCAGGACAGGGGGCTGGAGGATCTAAAGTTCAAGGACAGCTTCAGCCACCTTAGGAGTTCAAGGCCAGCTTGATCTGCACGAGACCCTGGTACAAACAACGACAAAGGCTTTAAGGTGATTTCTCTTTGAGATGTCCACACGCTCTTGGCTGTGGCTTTCTCCGGAGTGCCTCTCTTTCTCTTAACCTTTGTTCTTAAGGGCTAGGTTAAAAAGGTCTTCTTCTGCCAGGCGGTGGTGGCGCACACCTTTAATCCCAACACTTGGGAGGCAGAGGTAGGCGGATCTCTGAGTTCGGGCCAATCTAGTCTACAAAGTGAGTTCCAGGACTGTTACACAGAGAAACCCTGTCTCGAAAAACAAAAACAAACAAACAAAAACAAAAGAAGAACCTGCGTTGGTGTTTATCTGCTTTACAGGAGTAAGCTGATTGGGCTCAGAAACAAATTCACAGGAGCTTTGTGAGGGGAAGGGAGGAAGTGGTTACCCACTCCTGACAGCTGTCTTTTGACCACACACACACACACACACACACACACACACACACGCGCGCGCGCCGCATCCCGTGAGTGCCTCACTCTCCCTCTCACACATAAAAACAAGATATAAAAGGGAAGGAAAGGCGACAGGGTCAAACTCTCTTGGCCAGCTACAATTAGCTTGTTCACCCATCCTCCTCGCTATTTGTAGGTTTCAGAGTAGAATGTTTAAAAGAAATAGAACATGGTGTTCTTAAGCCTGGAGCTGGAGGAATTTGGGTGGGAAGAGTATGTGGCAGATAATATCTACAACAGGAAACAACCAGCAAACCGAAACAACTGCATTACAACCTGGATGACAAAGGCTTAGAGGACTTCTCTTTTCTTGTATTTATTTTATGTGCATTGATGATTTGCCATGGGTATCAGTCCCCTGGAACTGGAATTACAGACAGTTGTGAGCTGCCATGTGGGTGCTGAGAATAGAACCCGGGTCAGTCAGTGCTCTTAACCACTGAACCCTTCTACAGCCTAAGGGCTTCCTTTCACTTGATCAACAATTTTTTTTCCCCAAGACAGGGTTTCTCTGTGTAACAGTCCTGGAACTCACTTTGTAGGCCAGACTGGCCACAAACTCACAGAGATCCACCTGGACTGCCTCCCAAGTGCTGGGATTAAAGGCATGTGCCACCACCGCCTGGCATGCTTAACAGTATTTTACTGACAGTAATTAACACAAAATAAAAGAAGCGGGGTCAGTGTGAACTGTAGTTT